GAAAAAAAATATATATGGGTCCATTGACATCCGTTATGGCAGTTCAGAAACGCGCATGCGATGCTTGCGGTATCTCAGAGAGGACATTCCGAAGAGTTAATAAGTGAGGATGAAATAAATAAAGTAAGCAAGAGAAATCGTCGACATCCAAAACCATTCGTATAATTTTCACTCTACGCAAAATAGAGACTTGAGACCTTGATGAACATTTGATGTCAACAAATAATTTCGAGTATTCGAAATATTCCGACCCACTTCTTTTAACACGCCCTGTATATACGTTATTATATTCATTTTATTTGCCTTTGATACAGTAAAGTCCAATATTATTACTGAACATAAAATACAGGAAATTAAATATTTTACTTTTCATCAGAATTAAATATTAAAGCCCACTGATCATATCTTAATTGCATACCGGCCGTCATAGGGTAAAAGGACTTTACTACACATGTCTGAGATAAAACAAACACTTTTATTAATTATTATGAGATATGCAAAATGTATCATCGTCTCTCAGGTGAAACCACAGAAAGCATTCATCCAGTGGCGTATCTCCAAAGTGTTTTACCGCTAAATATTAGTTGGTTTTATACCACCCAGTCTTACGCCTTTCCTTTTTCAATCTGCGAGAATCATAATTGATGTTTGCCGTACGTTTCTCTATTCGCGTATTCATCAGACTGAACTTTTTAATTGACTTCCATACGCCGTTTTTACACTTGGAATGTTGTGGTGCAAATATGTTATAGGTACAAAATACAAAGAGCATAGAGATCAAGATAAATATTATATTTTAAATGTTCTGCACAAAACAGAAATATATTATATAATTGTGTTGATTTAAAATCGTTTATAGATTAATCGCGGCATTTTTTTAATCATTTATGTAAATCACTACACTTTTTGAATTTATAATATATCGCAAACATACATTCCTACGAATCTGTGAGTAGTATCGGCTTTGAACTTCTCTATACTTAGTACCTTACTTACTGCCTTTTAAAATAACTCTTAAATGTTCACTGCCAGGGAAAAACCAGTTATATATATTAATACATAAATGTTTATGCTATATTAAAAAGGTTTGACAACAAATTAGAATAGTGCTGTTCGCTATTTAGTAAAATCTAGATGGAAAATAAATTTAACATTAACCAAACACAAGTGATTAGGCTAAGAGAAAGACTAGTGATACAACGGTCCGAAAAGCCCAACTGTAACTAGTTAAGTAACCGAAGATGATGTAACTATAACTATAATCGATTCATTGAACTTGGGAAAATGTGGACAGTATATTTGTTGGAAACACAACATAAAATTCCTACCTTCTTCTTACGGTGCCTTATCCTTAAGGACGTTGGCCATTACATTTGCCCATTTAATCTTATTTGTAGCAGCCCTGAATAGTTCTATGGAGGTCATGTTCGTCCACTGCCGTAGGTTTTTAAGCCAAGAGTTGCGTCTTCTTCCTGGTCCTCTTTTGCTATTGACTTTGCCTTCGATTATAAGTTGGAGTAGTTCATACTTTTGATTTCTTATGATGTGACCAAAATATTGGGTTTTTCCGTTTTTTTATTATAAGGATAAGCTCTCTTTCCTTATTCATCCTCCGCAAGACTTCCGCATTTGTCGTATGGCTCATGTAGGATATTCTGAGCATTTTACGGTAACACCAGAGTTCGAATGCTTGGATTCTTTTTTGTGTTGCTTCTGTCATTGTCCAGGTCATTGTCATTGTCAAAATTCCTACCATTCAATAAAATTAATGTTGCAGACTTCTTTTATTAAAAAAAAAAAAGTAGAACCATGAATAATTATGTCCCGTTATAATGGTAGTGTACATTCATTAATTTCCATTATGGGATATTCCAAATTAACTACGCTTCATTTTTAAAAACTTTAAAGTAAATGTCAATGCCGGACACTTTGGTTTTTGCCCCGTTTATTTTATGGCCCATATTTTGTGCAGCCGTTAGGAAGGTGGAAACCACCTCTCAGTCCTCGTGTGATACGTGCGATCAAATCCAAAGTTTTACACACTTTTTTAATTATCATAGTGCAAAGAAACACGTAAATATTCAACCCAAAAATACAAAATTTTTTATTCGACATTGTTAGTAATAATAAAAATTATGCAGACAAGTCGGAAACCAAACAATGGTTTGAATATTTCAGGACGAAGCACAATCAATAAAAGTATCCGATGCTGCTATGTTTCTAAGAAAATGATTGCCTGTTTTGGACTGCGGCTACTATCCATTAGAAGATAATAAAAATGTAAATGTGCAGTAATAATATACAACTATATTTTTACCATAAGTTTTCTCAGTAATGCTAAAAAGAAATAAATACGTCGAATCATCCTGTATTTGGATAATGTAAGCTCCCATATAAACAATTAAAAGAATTAATATTTTGAAAAACAAAACATTCTGTAATATGACATAATACACGCCTACAACAAAAAAGGGTCAAATGAAAAAGTGGACTTAAGTGGCTTCCTATCTACTTATTTGGCTCAAGGTTGTTCAATCTAGAGTTTTCTGAATACCAAAGCCTAGATGAAGATTTTAAAGAAATCCAAACCTCTGTCGTCAATTTATTGAATCGATATTCCGTTTTTTTTTTTTGGTTTATAACAAACCAATATGCTCATTAATACTGAAAGCAAAACCCATAATTTTGATTACCATGATTTAAATACTCCTTTCACTTTTTAAGTCGTTTTTGGATATCCTTTTGAGTTTTAAAATACAAGGGATTATAACAGAAAAAAAATCAAAAACGTTCACCGTGATATTAACATTTTTCTAATGCTTTCACTGAAGACATACATTTGGCTAAAATGTTTTAATTCGTATAAATTAAATAATGAAGCACGTGGAAAAAACCATGAACCGAACAGATGAATAATAGACAGAACACATTTACACTATAGTGACACTATTGGCCATTGGTCAATAGTGTCACTATATGATTTATAAGTAAGGTAAAAACCGAATACTGGTAATACTTTAATATTAATTGAGGAGGTCAGAAGCCAAGGGATCCACATAGGGAAAGAGATCCAATCATCAAGCAATTCTTAGTGCTGCCATCTAACAATGTAAAATTGTACTAATTACCACATATTAACAACTTTATTGTTTAGAGCTAAACAGGCCCAAAAATACTTGAATGTAGTAAAAAACGCTTTGTACCATTTCAAGGGATTTTGACACAATATTTAATGGCTCGACCTATGTACACCTAATAAATGCACCAATGGTGGGACTTTTTAGTTCGAAAAAGTTCTGTTGTGATGTAATCCGAAATGGTCTTTTTAGTTATATACCTTTTATAAAGGATTTTTAAGTAAAACTTTTGTGATTTATAGTATACAGCCAACTACAGGAATTTTATTTTCCTTGTGGAAAAATAGAGAAATTTAATAATGCAGCTTCTACCTTATGTGCCTCCAATACACCACAAGTTTTACACAAAGTTAAAGACAGGGCAACAAAAAAGACAAAACAATGAGGCTGATACTCTCGAATCTATGCTTGAATCATATGATAGATAATAACTGAATGATGGGCAGCAACAATGTTTTAAGCGACAGATTGGGTCAAAGTGAGGTTTAAATGTAATATTGTTCTATATCAAAAGACCAATGCGAGCATCTTTCAATTTGGCAAAAAACATTTTGCCCCTCCCCCCTGAGTTTTTCGTACCGCAATGTTGGTATCCGTGCAAAAAGTTGTATATACGTCACTGTCAAACTACTATCACAGTAAAAATGGAGGTTAATGTGTCGCTGTCTACCCTTTTGCACATAAATAGCGGGAAATGCGCAAAATCAATATTAACCAGTGCAACATTGGCAAACATTCTCAGTTGTGAATAAAAAATGGGTGCACAAGTCATCAGAACATTCAACTACCAAATTGATGCGTTGCCGAATGCATATAATACCGGGCTCATAAGAATAAAAGAAGAAAAACGCAAAAATCTACTGGATATGTACCAGTACCTGAAACCCGAATACCGAGAGTTTTATGAAAAATTGGAATAACATGGAACATTATTTTTAAGTTTAAATTTAAGGAGCATTAAACTGTGTACTTAGCATATAAAACGTATTATTACACTGTTTTGAATTGATTATAGTTTATTATTAATATTACATACTTTTGTCAAAACCTAAATAAACATCGCATAGTAATCAGTGCAATACTGTTATATATATCCAGTTTATACAACATTGTTGCTGGGATATTTTTTTGAAATAATTTTGTTCGGCTTACTCTGTGTAAATCTGCATAACTTGTTTACACATCTATAACTTTATCTTCTTAAGTGAAATTGATTTTTTTTCAGCGCCTATTTTCATAAATAACTTGTCAATGTGTTTTTTTTTTTCATCTTGCATAATCTCAATTCTGTCGCTTAGAAATTGTTGCGGCCCACCATTCAAATGTAAAATATTTTACATCAAAATTTTTTGTGTTTTGAACATTTTTATTATATCAAGTTACCTATACTCTATGCCAAAGTCCGGTCTTCTAAGAAAAATATAGCTAAAAAATGTTAACTTGCATAATAAAGAATTAGCATAAACATGAGAAATAATATTCGATGCATAATATTTCTTATCTATATAACTTGAATATTTTAGAGTTCTGTTTCTTTTTCAATAAAAATAAATAAAACTATTTCAAATTGAAATATCTTAATACTAACTTTTGGCACTGACCCTCTTGGCTTCTAACCCCTCAATTCATTATGATGGCATCGGGCTAATTGCGTACACACTAGCAGCTACAACCGTTCAAAAAAAAGTATTATTTTACTAAATCATGCTCATAGAATTTGATGTTAAAAACTGTTTACGAGCATTTTTAGTACACTGTAAACTTTCTTTTAAAGTCAAAGATGCAATAAAGCAGAACTTTTATGTAAATTAAAATTATAAAGAGCTTTAAATATGAAAAATATGGAGAAAAATTATCTGTATTGAATATATATGTATACTTTATTTATATGTACAAAATAATAAGTTGAATAATTTAGTAGATACAATAGCATTTCTTGTAAAGAACAATTTTGTTATTGTCTTAATCCCTTTGCAGTAATTAAAATAAAGCCAGTTTCAAACCGTAAAAAATATCACAATTGGAGCTCGCTTGATGATTCTGACAAAAGGCAGTAAGCAACAATGCTAAATAACTTGGACATCATTCAAGAAAAGTGTAAAAACAATTCACGAATAAAACTTTGAAATTAGAAAAACAAAACTTACTCAGTCGACTTTAACTACACTATATATCTTTCTAATAAACCAGAAACAGGCAAAGAAACCTATCGCCCCTGTCAAGAGGTTAAATAAAAACACCATAATGAGCGTATAACCAAAATACAGAAAACCCGAAGCCGCGTCTTCTATTTGAAGCTTTGTGAAGAAATAATGACAGCAGTATAAGAAGAGATATATTGCTGTAAAACCGGAAGTTAAATACGATCTCCACCACCAATGGTAATCCTCGGCGCAAAGGTGGAAGTAACACAACAAAATGGTGGTTTCGGCGCAAGTTATTACTAGAATGATGAAAACTAAAAATAGAAATCCGAACATATAGTACATTTGAGATGACCAGATAGATTTTAAGATGAAAAAGAGTTGAATAAATATGCATCCGAACGGTAAAACTCCTCCCATTATTATACTGGGTATCGGTTGAGTATAAACTGATTGTTCAGGTATCAATCTTGGGATTTGGTTGGTTCTTACTGGATGCTCCAAAGCCTGTAACAAGAAATGAAATTATTAGTATAGTAATTCTTTGAATTGTCGGCAATAACTAAATTTGTTTCAATACATACTTATAACAATACTTCCTCTTAAATGTAGTTACATTGGGTTTTTCGATTAACCTTGGGTAAACCTTTGCGTTTTAAGTTCAAAGCTACCATACATTTTCAACGGTAAAAAAACTTTTTTTTTCATATAGTCACAAAAAACCACTATGTTGTTACTAGCTAAGTTTTTTAACATTCTAACTCTACAATTATAAGTTACGTTAAGATCACCAGTGTTTTATAATAGATAATATATGGTAGCTAATTATAATTTCTTCTCTTTCAGCCCTGAAGAAGCCAAATTAATTCTCTTTGGCGAAAACGTTCGGCGAATCAATCAATCAAGATACTTATATATCATCCATTTTGGAGATACTTACAACAAAGTTTTTTATAATAATGTTCGTGTAACATTTTATATATTTTACAAAACTAACAGTTCTGGCATTACTATTGGTTTAATCGGTTGTAATACTGCGATGTGTAAGGCATGGAGAAACCAATACACTAAATATTCTCAAGATATTATGGCAAGTTATGGAAAACAAAAGGCTCCCAGTTTGTGGCAGACCTTAAATGGTCAAGGGGTGCTAAGAATCTCCACGTTAAATGCTAGGAACCACCCGAAAGTGGAAAACAAAAATGACACATTGACAATTGGAACCTGGAATGCAAAATCTCTCTTTATGCCAGGAAAATTTCATAACATCGTGAAAGAAATGAAAAGAATAGGAGTCAACATTCCTCGGAGTCAGTGAAGTTAGGTGGCCTCGATCTGGACAAACAAACATCGATAACCATGTGATATACTATGCTGGTAATGTTTGTGTGGTTTTTCGAAGGATGCTAAAGATTTCTTGGACAGAGCACGTAACCAACAACGAGGTACTGAGAAGAATGGGAACTGAGATAGAACTAAATATTGTTAAAACCAGAAAAACGAGTTATCCAGGACATATTTAGAGGAGAAAAATACAACTTCCTACGACTGATATTGGAAGGGGAAGGGGAAGGAAGAAGAGGTCCAGGAAGAAGAAAAATGCTCCTGGCTGAAAAATGTACGAGACTGGACAGGCATGGACATACATTTGATACTAAGAACAGCTCAAGATAGAGAGCAATTTGCTCTAATTATAGCCAACCTTCAGTAATGGAGAGGACATCTTAAGATGAAGACAGTTCTGTTTTTTCTAAATTAAGCTATTTCTCTCACTTGCAACTAATATGTTGCTATCTTTTGTAAGGTAAACCCTGTGTACATTGTTTTGTCTCTATGGATGTTTGCTTATTTAATTTGTAGATAAACTGATGATGTGTATGAATTAATAAACGAAACGTTTTCAATAAAAAAATAAAATAGCTAATATCCTTTCTTTTCATTCTCCATTTGACCAAGAACCCTGATCTGATCGATCAGACACAAGCGTATTCTAGTCTAAGTAGCAGATTCATTGAGACTTTTAACTACTACGGCATATTAGCCTTTTTGTTGTCTCTGTCAAGGCCAGGCCTAAAGTATGGATTACTGGATCATTTCACAACGAAGAGAATGCGATTTGGCCACCTGACTCGCTTGGTTATCTGACCAACACATACTGTTGCATACTTCTTGAATTTAAAAAAGAAGAATAATCATGCATAAAGGGAGTACAATAGAATAAATCCATAAAATTTACATGCTACTGTAATTTGCAATATTGTAGTAAACATTTGTATGATTCATGTTGTATAGATATATCTGTATGGTAAATATCTCATCTGATGAAGAAAGAGAAGATGAGTATTAGTTTTTTATCTTCTTCTAACGAAGTCCTTGATTTTATTTTATTTTCGAATGGTAATATTTTTCGCTAAAGGGTTTTCTTTGTTTTTTTTTTTATTTTCTGATTTTATCTTTTATTTGGTTTCAAAATATAAGTTCCACTCATATTTGACATGAAAAGCTTTTATTTAACAACTGATGTATTCGGTACATACCGTATTTGATTAATCTAAACTAAAGACTCGTATGTAATTAGTTCAAATATTTTGCCTAATTTTGGAATGTATGTGGAACTTATGATTTAAGTAGAATCTTGACATGCAACTCCTCAAATTAAACTATTTTTAATTAAGGATTATATTCTCAAATTTCAACGGCTTTTTAAAATAATTAGTTTCGAAAATCGACTTAGTGCATCTTAATAAAATCATCTGCCATTTATTAATTATTTCTTTACATTAACAAACAAAATTCTTTATTTTGGCTACCTCTCCGACAATCTAGTTAACAAAAGCTTACTTAACAATAACACCTGCCTTCATTACTTAATTTCACTTTACTTTTATACATAAGCATCTAAAATTCATTATTGCTAACATTCAGATCATCCAATTGGCCACCATATCGGTCATGTGGTCCTACACAGTTGATCGGTGATGATGGTTTGACGTCATTGCCTGTCCAGAACATAGGTTGCATATCTACTCATGATGCCAAAATGCGTTTTTTTTTTCGTTTGTTGATTATAAAGCTACTATATATAAATGCCATAATCAGTCATAATAAATAATTAAATACATACCCTTTTCCTGAACCCGAAGAAAGCACCAACAAAAGTAAGTGGTACTGACACTAGCCACCAGAGGGCTAATAATCCCACTAAAGTACTAAATGGGACAGCAGCTGAACTATCCTTAGCCCAAAGTACCACATTCATGACGAAAAAGAGTCCGAAAACAATTCTAAAATTAAAAGTAGTTATTAATAAAACATTAAATTGAATAGATATAATAAAACTTTTGAGACCAATTAAATACTGTAACATATTTGTCATTTTCCATATCATGACTCATTGTTTTTTTTAATGTGAACCAACAAACGCGCTGTCAGTAGTATTCGCTCCGTGCGTGACCATGGTAGGGGTACATTGAAACGATGCCAGCGTGCGTAGCGGCGAAATATGACAAAATTGGAATATTGGACAAAATATTTTTACGCATAAATTTTATCAAAAATGTGTGCAAATACATGTTTCGTATTTAATTGGGCTAATAATAGCAAAAACAGTGAGTGTAGTTTTTATAGGTTCCCAAAGATTACATATAAATTAGAGAAAAGAAAAAGATGAATTCGTGCTATTAATATGAAAAAGTAAATATCACATAATTTTATTTGTATGCAATTGAAATAGGAAAAATTTAAATAATTTACCTTGAATGATATTTCATAAGGCTTCAAGCTAACTGCAGATGACTTTAGCTTTTATATCATAACTTTTACTATTATTGTTTTTAATTATATGCTCTTTTGCGTGAAAAACTTGATTTGCCAGTACTAGATTTTTTCCTTTCTTTTCCGTTTGGAGTTGAAAAGATATATTATGATGAATTTTGAGAAACCCAGTTTTTAATACTACATTTATTTTATACATAAACTGAAAAAATATAGTTAAAAAACTAATTTATTAATAATTGTCAATTTCGCATGTATTTAGCAACGTCAAACATATGTCATGTGTTTAACCTGAAAATTGGGACTCCAAAATTGTCAGATGAAGGCGTTAGGTGTCGCGTCAGTCACTCACGGAGCGAATAGTAATGTCAACTTTTTATAATAAAAATTTACTTGCAACATGAGTCAAAAAACTGATATTTACAAATCTTCATTGAATACACTTAAGTAAAGAAATAAATACTTTGGATTGTTAACTTACCCAGGTGCTAACATTGAAGTCAACAAAACATTTGACTTCCATTTTTCTCCACCAAAACTTTTATAAATCCTCGCAGAAACATAACCGGCAGGCGATCCTAAGAGTACATATAATACCATGGCACATGTCATAAGAGCTCCTCTGTTAGCTGGACTAAGGAATCCCAGACAAGCAAAAGCTAGTGTTACTAATGACATGAAGAATACTTGAACACCAGATCCAAGAAGCACTGAAAGGAGCATCCCCTTACGAGGTGGTCGGAAGACGTCTCCGTGGACAAGTTTCCAACCAAATTCCTCCTAAAAAATAAAAGTTTGTCATACATGTATTTCTGGATTACGTAGGATTGTATTTTCGCACAATACTTTGCATCAATTAGTTGATAACGGAAATCGTTTTCAACAATTTCTAAAGTGGAAATCGAAACGTCAAAAATAAATTTATTTTAAACTTAAATTGTGTCTTATTCCCAACAAAAATAGTAATTGCTTTAATAAAAATGTAGTAAAATAATCAAAAATTGCTGAAATCTTTCTGAATACCGCGATGAAAAAATTGTTTGAGTACTGATTTCTTATTTTACGCATACATATTTTCAGTATAATGTAAATAAAAAAAAATTCAAGCATATACCATCAATTTTCACTTACTTTTACAGTATTGTACTCATGAAAAAATATTTGTTTTTAAATATATATTTCGTTAAAAAAATAATTGTTTTTACCTGTGCATCTTCCCCATTATCAATTTGGTTATATCTAGCAATATCTTTATGTAATGTACGCAACAAAATCATAGCAACCATTCCAGACAAAAACAGTACAATAACTAAGGAATTCAAAATACTAAACCATTGAATGTTAGTATGTGGCATGGATTCTAATATGTAGTCCCATCTTGAAGACCATTTGACATCATTGTCTTCTACGAAGTAAATACTATATGTGTAGATAATTTCGAATGTTTCTCCACTCTTGAGGTTTTTCATTGGTATCATAAGCGGCTCTGATTCACCTGAACATCCATGACTAAAAAATATACAATTAAATTTAAATTAACATTACATACACAAAATCCGTTAAATTGTATTAATAGTTACATTCTCAGTGTACAAATTTCCCTTAACACAAATCTGTAGAATGTATCTTACACCACCACACTCTCGGGTTGTTTATATTCTTATTTATCTCAGATTTAGCCATACTGCTCAAACTTCCATCTAAGGGGAAAATTCACTCATCCCAGATACCTACGGTATCAAAAGGATTGAGCTCTAGTGGGACGTTTTCTGTGTTATTGAGGCTTAGGTGACTTGGTATGCTGAAGCATTTCCGAATAATTTTCATACACATCTGGATGTCGAGAATAGTACAGCTTTCTGCATGGTCTTATAGGAGTTCGTTCAGACCCAGCTTTTTTATGTTTTCTAGGAGGTTCTTCGGAATGACTTCAATAGTAGAGAGAATAATAGGTAATGTCTGGATACTTTCCATTCTCCACTGTCTTCATATTTAATTTCCAGATATCTGTACTTGGCAATCTTTTTGCTGTATTTAACATGCAAATTATTGTTTTTAGAGATCACCACATCAATTAGTGCTATTTATCTCTTTAATTTATTAACTAGAGAGAACTGAAAGCTAAGAGCAACAATGTTAAATGTCAGAAGTCAATTCTAACTGGCACATACCGGGGTCATTTATATTGTGTATGCTTCGTAAATGTGAATAAGTGAAAATTAAGATGGTTTCCTAAGACTAGAAAATAGACACAAGCACGAGGATATAAACAGAGAATGGGAAGCGTGTAAAAACATCATACAAGACGCAGACTCTGGGTCTACAAAAAAAGCCCAAATCAAATGAAGGACAGTGGTTCGATGAAGAGTGTCGTAATATAACAGAGAGGACAAATAATGCATATCAACGACTACAACAACGACATTAAACACGAAAGGCAGAAGAAGAATATAGAATGCTAAGGAGGGAAGAGAAGAAAATACATCGCAGAAAGAAAAGAGAACACATAGCAAAAAGAACTCCAAGAAATGGAAGAACTAAATAAACCATCAGAAAACAGAAAATTCTACCAAAAACTTAACAAGAGCAGAAAAGAATTTAAACCAAGAACAACGATGTGTAGAGACAGAGAAGGAGATATAGTAAATCAACAGAGTGAAATACTGTAAAAAGATGGACAGAATTCTTCAAAGAAAAGTTTAAAAAAAACGAAGATCCACTATATGATGGAATTATACTGGATCAAAAAGATACCAGAGAAACAACCCCCCCTTCAGTAGCTGAAATGCAAGAAGCAGTTACCAGACTGACAAACAACAAGTCACCTGGATTAGACAACATTAGCGCAGAATTAATAAAAGAAGGTGGAGACTCCCTATTGAATGCGATACATGAACTAATAGTGAACATATGGAATAATAAACAACTGCCACAAGACTGGAATACTGGAGTAATTATCCCACTACAAAAAAGGGAGATCAGCTTCAATGCAAAAACTACCGGGCAATAACGCTTCTGACTGTGGCATATAAAATACTGTCAAATATTGTGTATGACCAATTAAGACCATATGCGGAACAAATAGTTGGGGGATATCAATGTGGTTGCCTCAGGCAGAAGTCCACAATAGATCAGATCTTCGTCTTGAGGCAAATCTTGGAAAAGACTAGTGAATTTAATATAGACACACATCATCTCTTCATTGACTCTCTATAGCATCCATCGAGAGTTTCTGATCTATGCACTGAAAGAGTTTAATATACCAACTCAACTCATTAATATAGTAAGATCGGACGTCTGCGCTGGATAGGCCATGTTGAACGGATGTTGAAGACTGAAACGCCAAAACATATAATGAGGCAAACACCAGTAGGGAGAAGGTCGAAGGGAAGACCCAAACTTAGATACATGGAACAAGTGGAACAAGATCTGAAAACACTTAAGATTACCAACTGGAAAAACAAAGCAAAGAACAGAACAGAATGGCGGGAAATCCTAGAACAAGCCAGGACCCAGAAAGGGTTGTCGAGCTACTGATGATGATGATGAAGAAGGTTCCCTAAAATTTGCTGTTGTAACAATATACTTTCTACATACAATGCGATTCACGAGAGAAAAGTTGAATGAGTTCATTGAATACTTTGAAACATCGGTAAACGTATCAACACTTCGCTGGTCTACATATTTACGTCCTTGGAATGAGTGGGAATGGGAGAAATAGTTTATTCATTCCACATTCTATTAAATAGACTTTATTATACCTTCAACTTTAAAATAGTTTTTGAAGTACGTAAACAACAAACAAATAGCAGAATAAATGATTGATGTTTATTCCTTTTATAGCATTAAGATAAACGCAAGATGGCGGAAAGTGAGATCAACTTGACATCTCCTGAAAAAGTTTCAATTTTGTGTAAAATCTGTGATACAAAAGGCAAAAACTGCAGTGGATGTGTGAAGTGCAGGAACTCTTTTCACAGCCAGTGCATCATGACGACTCCGGGCTTTATGGTTCAGGAAATAAAAGAAATTATATGTGCCGATTGGAACAAAAATTTTCATATTTCACGTAAGTACACCACTAATAATGTCTCAGTCATTCCTATACTTTGCCACAACCACGAATGTGATTAAAGGCTAGGAGATGGTGAAGAGGAAATATGCACTTTCAGGAAAGTTAGTCTGTATTGTTCATTTGCAATGTGTGCATCGCGTATGTACCAATTCATGTTTATGACAGAGTAGTGATTAAGTTACCACAGGAACACCTGTAGGAAAAAGAAGCAAAGGCCGACCGCGAATTAGATGGTTAGATGGAGTGGAAATCGACTTACGAATATTAAAAATCACAAGATGGCAACATGTTGCCATCTTCTGATTTTTACATGTCTTTACATGTCTTTACACATTTTAGTTTTGATTGTCGAGCCAAAGATGATGATGAGTGATTAAGTTAAACACAAGTGTTTGTGGGGGTGTGGATTTTAAATATTGTCATTGTCATGTTTCAACTATCATTCTCAGTTTTATATGAACACATAATAAATTGAAAGATGATGAGAAACTGCTGATTCGTGAGCACATTCTTTCATTTTCAGCCGTGAAGTCTCATTATTGTGGGGCCTCTAGTGTCAAAAGTATTTGGATTTTTCAGTAAACATGTCTATTATGCACAAATTGTACAAATCAAAGTGCTCAGAATTAAATGTCCATCCAGTTTCTTTCGAAAAGTATCAAAAACATATGAACAGCCTCATCACAAACACATGCTAAGGAAACAATTAGCTCGTGAGGCTTGCGACGAAGACAAAAAATAATTCAGAGATACTATTGTTTAACTCGGTAACTTTAACAGACACGGTACTAATCGCAGAAACTTGGGAAGATCTTCAAATACTAATTAACAAAATAGTAGAATGCAGTGAAGAACACGGATTATCACTTAACATAAGCAAAACAAAAATAATGCTAATATCTAAATCACCACAAAACTTCCCTGACATAACCGTGCATGATCAAAGAATCGAACGTGTAAGAAGATATAATTACCTGGGAACTGTTATCAACGAAAATAATGACTGCTCTGAAGAAATCAGAACCAGAATAGAGAAAGCTAGAGCCACATTTACTAAATTGAAAAAGGTGTTCTGCGGAAGAGATCTAAGTCTAAAACTTAAAATTCGCCTTTTGAGATGTTACGTTATGTCAGTTCTCCTCTACGGGATGGAAACATGGACATTGAAAAAGATCGATACCAAAAAAAATAGAAGCATTTGAGTTGTGGATGTATCGTAGAATATTAAAAATACCCTGGACAGAGAAAGTAACAAATGTGGAGGTTTTGCGGAGAGTGCGGAAAGAGAAAGAGCTGATACTTACTGTTAAAAAGCGCAAACTACAATATTTGGGACATGTTATGAGGGGAGATAAATACCAGTTGCTGCAATTGATTATACAGGGAAAGATAATTGATTATACAGGGAAAGATAATGGGAAAGAGATCTATAGGAAGAAGAAGGCATTCATGGTTGAAAAACTTGAGAGAATGGTACAATTGCACCAATTGCCAACTGTTTAGATCTGCAGCATCAAAAATACGCATAGCTTTGATGATAGCCAAACTTCGGAACGAAGACGGCACTTGAAGAAGAAGAAGATTGTTTAACTTTTACCTCGAAGCAGTGCTTACGACTCCAAAGAGTCCAACAGGACAAATATTTTACCTACGAAAATTGGATATTTACAACCTGACTGTCTGCAACTTATGGAATTCGTACGGAATTTGTTACCTTTCGGTTTGAAACCCAAGGAAAAAGGGAGACAGAAGAGATATCCACGTATATTTACAATTACATTATCAATCAACCAACCATTACTGAGGTTTCGAATGATGTCAGACAGGAATGGCAATCTACAATGCTTCGCATACATCGAAGGTCGCCAGGATGCAGAATAACATCGTGGTTGCAAAACCTACGAAGACGGCACTTGAAGAAGAAGAAGATTGTTTAACTTTTACCTCGAAGCAGTGCTTACGACTCCAAAGAGTCCAACAGGACAAATATTTTACCTACGAAAATTGGATATTTACAACCTGACTGTCTGCAACTTATGGAATTCGTACGGAATTTGTTACCTTTCGGTTTGAAACCCAAGGAAAAAGGGAGACAGAAGAGATATCCACGTATATTTACAATTACATTATCAATCAACCAACCATTACTGAGGTTTCGAATGATGTCAGACAGGAATGGCAATCTACAATGCTTCGCATACATCGAAGGTCGCCAGGATGCAGAATAACATCGTGGTTGCAAAACCTACGAACCTAGGTGGAAGTGACGTCAACATGTGACCACGGGAGTAATGTGTTTCTTTCTGTAAATTTCTTTTTGTGTTCTGTAGGAGTCGTGTTTCATCAGTTTTGAGAAGCTCTGCCAGTGTTCCTTTTTTATTTGTCTAACTAAAGTACATTTCTGATTCGTTTATACTGGTTGTATGCCTGTTGTGTGTGTTGTGTTCTGTATTGTAAAAAGGCCTTCTTCTTTTCATCACATTTTGTCTTCACTTCCTCTCTAAACCATGGTGTTTTCTTTTTTTGATATGTTAGTGTTCATTATATTATATATAAAAAAATTGTAGGGCAAAAAGAATATTTTCTTTTCACAAGAAAAGAAAAATAAAGGGTAAAAAATAAAATATTGACAAAAGTTTTGAAAACTTATTGCATAATAACCTCCTTAGTCTCATAAATCATAAAACATGCTTTATTTAGGAATTTTTTCTGGGTTGTCAGTTTAGGTTGGCAGCCTTGAAAAGTAGTTTACTGGAAAGCCAACAGGTAGCACCACCTGCTAGAGTGAGTTTTTAGTTTATTCATTCGCATTTGACGACTATAAAGGAGACGTAAAAATGGCGGACTGTCCCGACCGGCCAATTCCATGTTCAAGTTTCTCTAAGTATTTTTTCCTGTTTTTTACTTAGCATAAAATTCGCATTCAATGATTGAACACTTAACTTGAAGACTTGTTCTTTTTATCTGTAAATAGATAATTACCCTTCCGTCCACATTTTTCAAGCTGTTACCATGGAAACGTTTAGATATATTTTATTACCGTTTGGATTTGATTATTAAAATATACAATTAGATTTTTTTTTAAATCTGTGACATCCTGGTAACATTTTAAAGTAAATTCTTGTTAACCAAGTTTGCAGTTGGAAATGATAAATTAAATATTTTTAAATTCATAATATGTGTATGGGTTGTACCATTTGCGTATGGTTTTTTACAGATTCTAAGCGGATTCAAGAATATGTCGACGACCCTTTTCATGGAGATAACAGTAAAGTGGACATCAGCGATGATGATAATTTAGATGCAGATCCACCATGGCTACCACAGCAGGAGGTCACTGACATTGACGAAGAAGAGCAAGAAACGATATCGGATGGTACCTCAACTACTTTAAACAGAACAGCTTCTAATACCACTGCTGGCGAAAACAACACTCCAGTTACACAAGAGAATTCTCTCTTCTGTTGCCTATTTTTTAAAATAATTTTAAACTGTTTATCCTTGTTTAGTGTAGTGTTATGTCCAATTTTATGTTAATGGCATTCTGTGATTGTTGGATAGGCCAAAATTAACAAAATGGCCCTGAAGATGCTCTAGGAAGCAAAAGTACTGGGGCAAGATTTAATTAATAAAACTTTTGTCAAAGTTCATTTATTCGAGCAGTCAACCTTATATCAATCTATCATGCATATGTTTGACTTCGCAATTTCAGCATCATGTATCGTATACCAATGAGATAAGCGACTTTTAGGAATCCACAGAAAAGATAATATGGATCTCTTCAGTTTTAAAGAAGAGTATGCATATTTTCTAGCCCATGGTCATAAGGCGAGCTCAGAGGATAGTGATCCATATTATAAGTGTTAATTGCCCCCTCCTCGGAAGCAACCCAGGGTATCTAACCCTCCAGACTTGCTCCGTAAAAAGCACACTTTGCATTTACCATAAATTTCAACCCCAGCCAAGAAGAATAGATGCTGAATACCAGGATGTTCAGCCAGAATCAGGTGTTCTACATGTCAGGTATTTCTCTGCATCCAAGAAAGAAACTGCTTCAAGCTATACCATAAACTATGACCAGTGCATCAACTCAGCCAGAATCTATATTCTACATGTCAGGTGTTCCTCTGCCTCCAAGAAAACCAAAACAACATCAAGGTTGTAAATGAACTGACACCAGTGCATTATCTACCAGTTATTTTTTATCATATGTTATTACTTAATCAATGATATAACCAAAGTTGTGTATTTATTTCCAATATATTCACAAAAAATCATGGCTATATTACTCATAAAACACAAATTGCTTGTAAGAATTTTTGATTATCTTGATTTTTTTTTCTTATCTTGATGCCTTATGTAACATAAAACAACCGAAATGTAGAAATTAAAAAACAAAAAATTTCCTGGGACTGAGGAGGATAAGTACTGTTATCAAAAGGTAAAAGATTAACATTTACTGATAAAATATTAGATAAATTATAAAGTATGTTTTGTATGAATCATAATTCAATTCTAAAAATTAAATTATGATTTATACATTTGACCTATATTAAATTTATGTAAGTACTTACCCTTTGTAATCAATACTCCTAGGTACAACTTTAACAGATATAATTCTTCCTCCATTTTCATGGAATTGACTACCCCACTCTTCTTTAGCCCCAGAATGATATGTAACAGTTAAATTAACATGATTGTAAATATAATAAGCATCATCTCTTCCAACATCTTCTTTTACACAATTATGTCTTCCGTTTCTAGAATAGCACCCCATGTGAAAGCCTGTTCTACAATCGTCTGCATCATAACAAGTTGTAACAGGCATATTATCAACAATCCAATGATGTTGATAGTTCAGACTTATACCTTTTCTTAACCTACCAAGTTTCAAATTATCTTCATTTCTATCCCCAGAGTATTGCTTTTTACAGACCTCTTTACAAGTTTCATTTTTCATAAATTCTATGTTATATTTTGAAGGTCGTATTCTTTCTCCAAAGACAACTTGTCCCAAGTTTTCCACAGGCGATTTTTCATTGTTGTCTGGCAAACAGAAATCAAAATGATTGTACTCATAGGGTATAATTGATTCATCTGTGTTCAATCTATTTACAAATAATTTTACTTCAGACTAGAACAAAAAAAAATTGATTAAAAATAATAATTTCTTAAATTTCTTCCAAATAAACTATAAGTATGACTAAAAGTATCTTAGAACATACTAGAAAACCATTGTGAATGTTAAATGGTAAATCATGTACTTCAGGATAAAACTTAAAAGCTGTTTATAATTTACTTTGAAATAAAATTAGGGCAATTTGTGTATTTTATATTTATTTCAAATATGGCAGTACAGATAGCAAAACAAACACTTACTTAATAGATGAATATATGAGTCTATATTGTTGCTAGAGTGATAATTTGCTTCCAATTAGTATAGCATAAACCTCAAGTCTCTACATGTACAAGTGCTTTGTTAAGAATTCTCATTTGATTATAAAAGTTAAAGTAATGAATAGGAAATGTCAACTAAAACAAGGTTTCATTTAAAATTTATTTCAAATCTTTTATAAAAGGTATATAATAAAATGCCCAAACAGGCTATCACAATTATATTACAAAACGTTTTTGGATTGTTAAATCCATCATCCAACTCAGTTGTTATCAACAGGTCCTCGAAGACACTTCATCTCAGGACCATTTTACCTATGTTGGGTCATACGTCTCCATGTTACCAATTTCAACGGTAACTTAAACATCATAATTTGTAACCGTATATAATGTAAAACAACTGTAAATTTATATCATTTAAAGGGTTTTGACCCATATATTTTGGTGGCTCATAGCATGTATACCTCGTTTACACTGATGATGGATTTAACAATCCGAAAATGTTTTGTAATATAATTGTGATAGCCCGTTTGGGCATTTTATTATATACCTTTTATCAAGGATTTGAAATAAATTTTTTGTGATATATGGTATACAGCCAGCTACAGGAACTTAGCTTCCTAGTAGATTTTTTTTTAAGGTTTCATTTGTGTAAGATGTCACATCTGGGGAATCAAGAATATACCTAATGGTAAAAGGATTTTTAAATATATTTTAGATATTTAAGAAGATATTTACATTAAAAAGTAAAATACCAAAAATAAATAACAGTCATAACGACTGCTTTTAAAAATAAAACAGGATATTGATAGTAGACAGTACAAGAAAGAATAATTGAAGAAATCACAATACAAATAATCAATGCAAAGATAATATTATGGAAGCTAAATACAAGGCACACATGTCAACCCGACAGTCTAGAACTGAGGAGTTGTAAAATGAACATTAACAATTATGCAAAGTAAGAAAATCCAAAATATCATATGTTCCAGATTTTAAAAAACATCAAGTCTGTAACAGGATGCAGAAAAATTGGGGAATCGGGAAAGTAGATTAGCAAATACCAGTAGAAATGGCAAATTGGCTAAATTCTGAGTAAATAATTAGTTTCTATAAAATTCACTTACTTTACAAGTATCGGATTCATCTTCCTTCTTGCAATAGTTAACAGGGGCTAATCCTGGTAAATAAAAGCCCTCAACTAAAACGTTAATCCATACAATTAAAATTACTAATTTGGACAACATATTCGAATTGGTTGAGGTTCATCTATATTTTAATATTTTTATGAAAAAATTACACGTTCACGTTGATGAGAGGTTGGCAATTTAAAAACGTCACCAAAAGTAAATGATTGATCGTAAACACTGATAAGTACTTGCAGTTGTATTTCACCACCACCACTTTAATGCAAAAAATAAATATATCACCACATCATCCCGATGTCGATATAATTGTAAGCAATGGTTTATTATAAAAAAATAGAATTTATTTGAAAGAACTACTTTTCAATTGTCGCAATTTTTTGTACTTTGTTGGTGTAGATGTCAAATGTCATTTGTCAAATTCTACTTCTTTTTTGTTGAATTTAAATGATAATCATGGATGGAGTTAGTTTCTAAATAGATTATTTTTTTATTGCTCTGCTAAGTTAGATAAAACAAAGTAGACTGTTTTAATTTAAGGTTGTACTATTTTTAAGATCGTAATGTTATATTACGCACAGTTTTTCTGTATTACCCAAATGGAACCCGTCATTTCGCAACAAGCATGTCACACATTTTGGTGCAATTTTGTTTGTTTTACACGTTTACACGTTTACAAGCATGTCACACATTTTGGTGCAATTTTGTTTGTTTTACACGTTTTCCGTGAAAAAGTCGCATCTTCATATACCTACCATAAAGTCAACATAAAAGACAAACAAAAATTAAAGTCTGTTTAAAAATATCACGAGTCATGGACTTATGCCTTTTTTTAATGAAACGGAACGGAAGTTTGCTTATATTAAAAAAGAAAATATATGCATCTACAACTAAAGAAAACCACGAGATGCATTCGAATAAATATAGTTTTTATTCGAGATTCTATTTCTATTATATTTACTTCTTATTCGAGTTGCTACCTTCTTCAACCAATTGGCTTGTACATGTTCCAATAACTATTGTACAAGACTTCGTAATTTAATATAAACACTTAGCCAACACCTTATAGACCTTTTGGTTTCCCCTAATAAGTACACCACAGAGTTCGTGTGTAAGGTTACATCGAATCTTTCCACAAAAAAGTATCAGCTTAGGGAGAGCGCCCACCAAAGTGGCATGGCAAGTGGCGCGCGTCTAGCATGTTACTTAAAATGTAACCAATGAAAACGAATGATTCAGCGCACACCAAAATGACAGTGTCGTCATTTATTTTAATCATTAGTTTCCATTGGTTACATTTGAAGTAACATGCTAGACGCGTGCTACTTGCCCATCGCCAGTTTGGTGGAAGCTCTCACTTACACAACGCACCTGTAACTTTTTTTTTTGGTTGGCTTGGACAATTGTCATTCAGCCAGTCTCAATTCACCTGTAACTTAACTCATAACAAATTGAGATCCGAATGCTCGTAAATGTATCTAAATATCGCCTAAATGTTCTAAGATGAATCTTTATCAGCAGAGTAAGATAACCTCGGCATAAGTGAGAGCGCCCACCAAACTGGCGTGGCAAGTAACATGTAGCAAATAGCACGCGTCTAGCATGTTACTTCAAATATGTAACCAATGGAAACTAATGATTAAAATAAATGACGTCACTGTCATTTTGGTGTGCGCTGAATCATTCGTTTTCATTGGTTACATTTTAAGTAACATGCTAGACGCGCGCTACTTGCTACTTGCCATGCCACTTTGGTGGGCGCTCTCCCTTAGTGAATTGTCAATTGTTATAAAAAATAACTAATACGAATTTTTAGTTTAAAATATGCCTCCTTCAGCAAAAAAGTTTGCCATTATGGCTACTGTAGTGTTATTAATTAAAAAAGAAAAACAGCAGAAAAAAGTGAAGTGAAACAGAACTATTTGCGTTAAACAGCATTTGCAAAAGCGCCATAAACTTGGAATAAAAGATAACTTGCTAACAGGAAATGTTATCTGATTTATAGCTCAATATTTAGTTTAATTTTTGTTCAACGAGACGATTAAATTTTTACAATTGAAAAAATCCCAACAATCTAAACCAAAGAGATGATTATGGCAGTCAGAATAATTTCAAAAGAAGTATTTTTTAAGTAAGATATTTGCCTTATTAGCAACAATCCCATATGAATAATGTAGTTAGGGAGCGCAGAAAACTGCACCTGTATATATTATGCCAATTGCCGTAAACGCTTCTTATTATAACAGAAATAGCCGATATTGAAGCCTAAAGGCGCCCAAATCGTAAATAGGTCTTCGAAGGTGCCGAGATTTATCTGATACCTGATACGAGTTGTATTTTGTTGTACCCACTGGCTTCATTATATAGGATTCAGAGGCGCAACAATCCTATATGTATGTTGTAGTTAAGGAGGGCAGAAAACTATCTATTCAAAATTGACACATTACATGGAGTATAATTCACTTTTTTCGACAAATTTGCCGGTTTTTGACGCCAACACTCACAGCGTCTTGACTGTTCAAAACCTAAAACTTGAATTCACTTCGACGTCGATCTGTTTACCCGGCTTCTACCCCGCTTATCAATCCCAGGGACTAGCGAAATCGGAATTCTTTTCAAACTGGCATTTGACCTTGAATCATTGTTTGCTTTTAAAATTTCAGGACTAACACATACAAATAAATATAACCATATTTTTATCACTTGAATTTTTTCTTGTAGAATGTGGGATATAAACAAAGAGAGTCGGCAATATTTTATACTTGGCAAAGGGGCGTACCAGATAAATTTTAAACTTTGAATATTCGATAGTTAAGGAATTTTTTACACGCTACAACACAAATAGCAGATATTGATATCTACTAAAGGCGCTCGAATCGTAACATACTGTTTTTTAACAAATACCTGTTTTTACTCTTCACTTTGACTGATATATTACTTCTGCTACTTTCTTTTATTTTTAGATCTGCTTAGTTCCCTTTTGTTTTTTGTTTTCGACATCTATTACCACTAGATACCAGAATATACCTACTGCTGCTGAAGATTATGTTCTCAGATATTTGAACTGCATTACTTACACAAACCAAAACTTTTTTTAACTTTTTTTTAATGTTCAAAAAGATTTAACAAGATTTTAAAAACTTTTTCTTTTAAATATTTTTTTAATTACAGTTTTATATCTTAAAGGATCAGTATTTGCTAGTGTTTTGCAATCTAAGGTATCTCCATTTATATTTACACATATAAATTTTTAAATTCTTTGAAAACTTAAATATAAAATAAAAAATATGTTCTGTAAAATATATATATTTATCACTGAAGGTCCATGGAAAAAGATCGTTAAAATACTGTTTTTTTTTTCATTAAGAATGTTTTAAAACCTTTTATCAAAGTATGTATTGTTTCTGAGTTTTATTATAGTGATAAGCAAGCCCAATTTGATCTAGTTCAGTAAGTCTGTTCACCGATTTAGATCTTATACTTTTTATTTTTATACAAAAAATACAATTTCAAACTCTTTTCTGATTTTATAATTATTATACTGCGAAGGTTGCTACTACTTAAAAAATTAATTCAGGCTTTTATGGGTTAATATTATAACCCTTCTTTGTTTTAATATGTATTTTCCATTGTTGCTGTCTATAACCTCAGTGGTCCGGATAACATTAAATAAATAAATGAAAAATACTGTATCTTTTCTTTTCCCAGGGGCCTTCTATCATTATCTATTTACAATTTAACACCTAATAGTTTTTATTTATTATAAAATTTACGTCAGTAACTCATTCTTCCTATAAGCTAAAATCCTTTTGCCCACTTTTTCAACGTGCTGATTCAAGTTTATAATGAAATTTCTGAGCTGCAAACACCCAGAAAAATTTTTCCCTAGACTCTGAATCTGCTTTTCATCAACTTCTGCATAAATATGGCTTGCTTTAATATCGTCTATACTTCCTAAATTATGTATTGAAAGTTGCATAGTAATGACCCACCATATGACGTACTTAATATGTAATATTTCGACACAAACGCTAAAAAAGAGAAAAAATATCAAATTGAGTAATCTTTAAAAATAAATTTTGTTCATAAAAACTATGATAAATATTAAAATAAAAATGTTCACAATATAGGTATACATTTTCTGCATTAATTTTGAATCTGTAGTGTTTTTAAATTAAAGAAACCAGTCTGCTTATTAATTAATTGTTAATATTTTTTTATAATAATACCACACTCGGGTAGTGAACATTTTTATTAATAACTTTTTTGTCTTTCGAAATTCCATAATTTTGACATGTAATGAACTATGCCATAAAAACGGTGCTATCAAGGTAGATAATCGATTTGATATTATATTGCTGAGCAGATATATTATTGGTAGATCTTTTTAATGACATTTATCGGTACGGTCAAATACCACAGGACTGGCTTCAATCAACCTTTATACCAATCCCAAAAAAGCCAAGTTAATAGTTGCGACCAATTCTGAATGATCAGCTTATTGAGCCAGGTCCTAAAACTCTTCTTAAAGATAAATCATACAAGAATATACAACAGATGTGAAAGAGACATTAGGCCCACACAGTTCGGTTTCAGAAAAGGATTTGGCACAAGAGAAGCACTTTATAACTTAACTATCCTACTTCAGAAATGCAGAGATTAGCAAAAATATCATATGCTTTATAGATTACCAGAAAGAGCCTTTTGATTCATATAAAGAGCCTTTATATGAATCAAGTGGCATATGTGAGTAGGACTGGAATCTACATCATATTTCTCAATCGAAAAAGGTGTAAGACAGGGTTGTGTTCTGTCACCCCTCCTTTTTAATCTTTACTCTGAAACGATTTTCTATAGAGCCGTAAGTGACACTGAAGATGGAATCAAAATCAACGGACAGACTATTAGTAATCTTCGCTAGGCTGATGATACAGTCATAATAGCTGATAGCCAAGAAGCGCTACAACGACTAATAGATAAAATAAACACTGAAGGAGAACGACTGGGCGTGAAGATTAATATAGACAAGACGAAGGTAATGGTGGTTAGTAGAACACGAAATATGCAATTAAATATAAGAGTAAACAATAATAACATCCAAAAGGTCCTCAAGTTCAGATATCTCGGTAGTTGGATAACTGAAGATCTAGATCCAGACATACTAATATGAGTACTTGCTAAGCAACAGCAGCCTTAACTTAACGCTTCGATATCACTTTGTAAAATATTACATTTACTCCATACTGCTATATGGTGTAAAAACCTGGACCATAAAGGCCAATGTGATGAACCGATTGAAGGCCTTTGAAGTGTGGGTATTTAGAAGAGTACTTAAAATTCCCTGGACAGATCACACAACAAATGTCGAAGTATTACATGGCAGAATGGGCAGAAAAAGAGAATTGCTGCCAATAATAAAAAAAAGAAAAAACTGCTTACCTATTTATGAATTATTACCTTTGTTGAATAATAACATAACTTAAGTCGTACTATTCTATTGGGATTTCTCCCTTATCTAAAAATTTATTAAGCAGAAGCTTTATATTTCTAGTGTTATGCCGTCATATTTAAGCATTTCTGTTTTGATTTGGTTTTTATATGGATATTTATCATTTTTCATTTCTTTTAGAGCTACTCGTATCTCATCTTTCTTGGCGAAGAATGCAGCCGCTTGTAACATGACGAACAGACAGATGTTTATAGCCGCCTAATTTGGGTTCACACGCTACCGTCAATTTTATAGCAATCCTAAAATCTAGGGAGTGCCGCTTCCGCCAGTATCGCCGTTCGGAAGATATTTTATGATAATAAGCAATGAAAATAAGTACTGCAAAATATAAGTGCAGCTAATTAAGTTCGCAGGACTTCAACAAAGCTGTGGACCTGTCAAAGACCTCTGGATATTGTATACCATATATACAGAGTGGCCCAAAAGTCTGGAAACGGACAATTATCTCGTAAATTGCCATAATTGTACAAAATTTGAGATATACTCCATTCGCTTAGCTCGGGCATATTTTGACAGATTCATTGTCGGAAACCTACAACACAACAATTCCTACTTCTCAGTATTAATAGCTCAAGTATACTACTATTGCAGACTTCTTTCTTTGAAAAAAGAAGAATTATTCTAAATAGTGGAACTGTATACTAAACCCATCAAATTTTCCCTGTATATTTAAAATATAATATTTGAATTGTTACAATTTAACATATTGTAGTAAATATTTGTAGGTATTATTCGCGTTGTTTATTTTAGCTAATATAGTTTTATTGTTCTATTATTTGTTAGTTCTATTTAATTAATTAGTTAGTTCTATTTTGAATTTTATTATTAGGGATAGTCAAAGTTGTCCATTTGTTATGATATATGAAAAATGTTCTTTAAAAGTTAATATTTTTAGATGAGTGGATGCTGTTAAATTACAAGATAATCAAACTGCACAAAGATTTATTCAAAACACCAACCATTTTTTTTAATTATTTGCCCATTCGGCGTAGTTTGATTAATAAACTGAATACCATCTCAGTTAAGATCCAGTTCGGTTTGACATGGCGTCAAAAATTAAATTCGCTTAGAAATTTATAGCATGTATAAAGAAAGTAAGATTCTATTATATATATGAAAAATATATTTTATCAAAAAGTTACGGTAATTTAGTTTATATCGTTAAGTTGCTCCCAATGTAGGCAACCAACTTAAAGTTTTTGTTTAGCATTTAGCTGGAGTTTCTTGAGAATATTTTTAATAAACGTTTAATATTTTCCAGTTAATTTATTATTTTTTAAAAGTGATGACAACAATGCTGAATAAGCCATATTTTAAATAATATTTAATCTCAAAACGTACTTATTATTGTGTTATATAATCCTCATAATAAAGTACTTTAGATATAAAAGGTAAAATCCCGGATCGTCCAAAACTAGTTTCTGATAGGAATAATAGAATATTAAAATATTAAACGTTTATTAAATATATTCTCAAGAAACTCTAGCTAAATGCTAACAAAAACTTTAAGTTGGTTGCCTACATTTGGCGCAACCTAACGATATAAACTAAATTACCATAACTTTTTTTATAAAATATATTTTTTATATATAATAGATGCTTACTTTCTTTATACATGCTATAAATTTCCAAGTCATAGTATAAGTTTGCAAAATAGGTCGACGAAATACTCTAATGAAATGCGCTATGAGTACGTGTGCTTGGTTGTATAGTAATTTCCAGCCACTTCTATTATGTCAAAAAGTAAGTAACTTCGTAAAAACATAATTACTAAAATCACTAGACAGTTGGGACTGGGATTAGCGAACCGAGTATACATCTATTTTCGGATACGGAGATTCCATATTTGATATTTGCAATGTTGCAAGATTTGCCGTTTCTCTTATATTATTAGTAACTTTGGTTTTTCAAATTTATCACCCTGTATATTCAGTCATTATTGGAATCTCCTATTCAATACGAGTTCAACCATATGTAACACTTATGATTTTATGTAGTCTGGAAGGCCCTAAATACATAAAACAGAAATGTGGCAACGCCTAATTGTCTCAATAAATTTTTTAATACTAACTATTTTCAACTACATTTTTCTTCTTCTAAAGGTGCCTGTCCGTTCCGAACGTTGGCGATCATTCTGGCTATGATGATTTTGTTGGTTGCTATACGAAATAGCTGTGTTGAGGTCTTTCTATACCATGCTCTCAGGTTAGCAAGCCAGGATATTCTTCTTCGTCCTGGGGCTCTTTTTCCTTCAATTTTACCCTGCAAAATGCATTGGAGTAGCTCGTATCTGCCTTGATTTCTCATTATATGTCTCAAGTACTCCAGCTTACGGCTCTTCACGATGTTGACCAAATCCGCGGTTGTGTTTATCCTCAGCAGTACTTCTTCATTGGTGACTTTGTCTGTCCATAGTATCTTTAGGATTCTTCTGTATAACCATAGCTCAAAAGCCTGAAGTTTTGGCTTAACTTGGCTCAACTACATTAAAACGTAACAATTGATAGATAACAACATTTTTTAACCTAATGGTTACTTTATCAAGTGTCCAAAATGTGTTCCATTTGTGAGTTGAAAGTACCCTAATCCATGGTAGAATGCGTCTACCGCATTTCTCCATGATTGTCTAGAAATTATTCGAGATTAATCGATAATTCGTTGCCTTAGCTCTGCAAGACTTGCTGGTTTAGATTTGTAAACTGAATTTTTCAATAAAAATAATCTTTAGAATTGAAATCAGGTGAAAGGGAGGCCATTCAACTACCTCGTCTACCAATCCATCGTCCGGGAAATATCTCATCTAAATAACGCCGAATTTTACACCAAAATGAGCTGGAGCTCAATTTTGCTAAAACCACATCTGATTAAAATTGGCCCGAACAAGTTTCTCAGTGTAGGTACAATTTCATATCTAAGTAACATTTCGTAACTATCTGACGTTAAATTTCCTTTGATAAAAAATGGCTGAGTACCTACTATACCTGACTATACATTTAATTTTTGTGGTCTTTGAGTAAGGTTTTCACGCATCTAGTGTGGATTTACGTCACTCCAGTACCTCAAATTGTGTCAATTTACACTTCCACGCAGTGTAAAGGTTGTTTCAACGGAAAAACATAGTCTGTTAACGAAATTTTCATCATTTTCAATTTTATCCATCATTACCTCAGTAAACTCTAATCTACGGTCAAAGTCATCTTTACTTAATTATTGCAATAAGTTAATTTTGTATGGTTTAAATTTATTCTTACGTAATACACGTTAGACTGAAGAACGACCTACATCATGTACTTGTGCAACCCTGCATGAGGATGTATGCGGATCTTCAACATAACTTTGCATTATATCTAAAGTTTTGTTGTCATTCATAACTCTTTTCGGTCTATCTGATCGGTATCTATCTTTTACTTCTCCAGATTCCTCAAATCGCTTTAAAGTTTTTGTACCATCGCCTTATGAATAGGAGAACGGTTTGGGAAAATATCATTGAACTAGTTACTACTATTTACTACTATGTTACTACAATGAACTAGGCTACTCCACAATAAGACCTTTTTCTCTTACCGTACCCTCTTATCATTAGAATAGTAATTCGTTCTTTTTCTGTAAGATACATTTTAGAGAAGAGACAATTTTTCGAAACACAACTACTGTTAGTTTTAGCTAATCATGTAAATAGTGAACAAATGTCAAAATCACAGTATTCTACATTTAAATATTTAAATTTATTAAAATCTATATATTTTGCACTGTTTTTATGTATTTAAGACCTTCCAGACTACATAATATCATAAATGTTACATATCTGAACCGGCAAATCTGGCAACATTGCAAATGTCATATATGGACCTAAATATCTACCAAAAATTGACCTATCCCAAAATAGGTGTACCCCAAATTTTGTACAATTACGACTAGCAATTGACCAGATAATTTGGCCGTTTCCAGACTTTTTTGGGTCACTCTGTATATAACATATATATATATATATATATATATATATATATATTATATATATATATATATATATATATATATATATATAGATGACAAAAAAATAGAAGAATTCTAATAATAATAAAGTTTCAGACTGGTGATATTTGTTACATTAATGCATATTTTATATTTGAGGAGGTTATCAATGTTATATGATTATTATTTGATTACAATTTAAATTAAATGTCCATTTTTATAAAATTAATCAACTGATAACCTGATTTTATTAACACCTTTTATAATGATTAATTTAAGTAATACCTTTTATAATGATTAATAAAGATTTAATTTCGATAAGGAATTATAGTTCATAAAGATTGGCATTGCGAAAAACTCAAAATTGATGTGGAAAATTATTGAGCGGGTTTATTGTACTATAAATGTCTTTTTAATTAAGTTTATATTTAAATTAGCAATTAGAATACAATGTTATTCTACAGGCTAGTGTGTTGAGCTTAGGAAATATTACTGCTCATGTTTGACGTGATAAGGCCTTCTTCATAGACAAGTCCATTTTTTAGGTCTGCCCGCCAATTTTCTCGAGCCTTCTGATAGGGGGCTGTAGTAGCAAATTTGTGTGGATTTCTAGGTTTCTAATTGATTATGTTGTCTGGTGCTTTAAAATAATCTATTTTTAGGTCTTCGTGTGGTGTTTGATTTGAACCATACCATGGTGCATCTATTTTCATGCGGAGTATTTTGGATTGTGTTCTTTGTATACCTAATGTTAGACATATTTAGTCTAAATGGGTTTTATAATTGTTTTATAAAAAAGAAGTCTATTTTCTGAAGAGAAAATGGTAGTTTTCATGGTTCTTGTTTTAAACGACGTAGTACAGGTATGACCGAAGATAATTCAATCAATGTTCTGGCTTTAATTCAACAGAATCCACATATAAGTAGTCGGCAAATCTCTATAGAATTAAACATACCCAAAACTACTGTTCTAAGGATTTTAAAACATCATAGGTTGGTTTGTCATATTGTCAAAGATTTTGTGAACAGACGACGCTACGTTTAATAGTTCGGGTGGTGTTTATCTGCATAATATGCATTATTGGGCTGAAGAAAATCAGCACTGGATACATGAGGTGCAGGTTCAACGTTTCAAGATGAAATCTTAATGTTTGTCTTACAAACCAGAAGAGATATGATATTACAACATGACGGGTGTCTTGCGCAATTTTCTAGACGAGTTCGAGATTATTTGTATGCAAGTTATCCAAATAAATGGATTGGAAGAGGAAGTATATTTTCATGGTCAGCTAGATCTCCAGACTTAACATGACTGGACTTTTATCTGTGGGGAAGATTGAAGGACTTAGTGTAGCAACCTCGACAACCACGCGAGACAATACGAAACAGCGTATTATAAACGCAATAAATAGTATATCAACAGCTCAGATTGAAGCAGCTGTTGTGTTTACGCACGAACGATTACATCTTTGTGTGGACAACGATGGAAAACAATTTGAACATTTAATTAGACGTTAAGTTTTAATGATCGAGATATTTGTATGATCTTTCACATATTCAATTTTAAGTTATAATAAAGGGTGAATCAATTACTTACTTATGTTTATGCGTTTTTATTCATATCTTGAGTTCGACAAAAGCTATTACATGCGGTTTGGGCCATTTTGTTACGAATTTAATCTAGTTCCATTATAATTTACAATAAATAGGTGTTTCCATTAAACATTTTGAAGAAAAACACATTTTAATTTTTTCTATTCGAAAGTACCCTCTACCTATGACAATTAAAACTAAATGCAATTATTTTATAGTAGATGTAAATTAATTCATCCACACTCTTTCTAATGACACTAATTTCGTTAAAATCTGTTGATCCAAACCAAATTTGTAGTTATTTATCCATAAATACTTTCCCACTCTCCCCCGCCCTTTATTTGAAAAAATAAAAAAAGTACTTGAACAACTTTGTGCGGAATTTGGACCTCTTTCTAGTTTATTTATTTAACACTTGGTATAATTGGGCATATTTCACAAAAAACTGGTTTTCAAATTTTCTTGACAGCTTACGCCCCCTAGCGGTTAACCCAGAAACTTGAAAGTTATTTCCAGCGATTTCTCTTGGCCACTTTTACAAAGGAATTTTTTCTCCTAAAATTATAATATGAATAGTTTCTGATATATAGCCAAGAGGCTTATTGGACCATCCGGTACATGTACTAATCATAGATATATTAGTTTAGCAACTTCTGTATTCTGTTCTTAAAATTTGTGTTTAGTTTAAATTAACTTATTTAATATAAATGACACTAAAAGACAACACTTTTTGTACAGTATAATTAGTGATACAGTTGTGGGAAGCAAACTGCATCCCTACAACACGTGGTTATTAAACTTCATCTGTGTTAAATAATTATACTCACCTTGACTCAGAATTCATTCTCAACTTGTGAGTTGGGCCATATTCTGTTTCTAACGTCCTAAATTCCGTGGAAAAATCAATTACTTCTTCCATGCAAATAGAGACGTAATCAAGTAAAGTGAGGAGATCAAATTTTCCACCGAGAGCTAGTAATAAGTTCTCGTATTTCAACTTTTCCAGCAAAAATTTCGAGTTGTAGCAAGAAAGTAGTTTGGCATTATCTGAAAGACCAAAAAATGTTCACATTAATCAATATACGTATATTAGTACTAAATGCTTATGTACAAATGAAACAAACCAAAAACTGAAAAAAGCTCTGAAAACAATGAAGTCGATTATGATCATTTTTTTAGTGGAATATCAAAGTGCTTAGCAAAGAGTCTCAATTTTTATTGGAAATGGATTTAAAGTATAGGAAAGTAATTAGTTAACGCATAATAAAAATAAACATCACAATTCACGAATATAAAATGACAAACTTTTTACTTCACTTTTTAAAACAACTATTACGTTCTCGTCTAGGAAAGATCCAAAAAACAAATGAAAATATTAAAGCCGTTGAAATAAATAAAGTACAATAGAATCTATATAATAACTAGAAGATAGCTTAGAACATGAAAGAACCCAAATTCTGTATAGAAGCGAAGAAATACTGGGAGGGCCATGTGGCCAAAATGAATGACGGGTGGTGGACCCAAAAAATAACGAGACCATGGTGTGGAGATAATTTAAATTTAAAGGTGCTAATTTAAAAATCAATGGAAACATTTTTCTTTTTGCTGATGATACCAATATCACCTGGGGCAACTCTAATATTGCAACTCTTCATGAAACTATACCGTCTGATCTAATTACAAAAAAACCTGGTTCGACTCTAATTTACTATCTTTTAACGTGGATAAGACAGTAGTATTATCCTATAAAGGAGCTTTATCCTATAAAGAAGCTTTTCCCAGACGACCAGACCAATTTTGCACAAGACAGGAAGGATATGGAATATATGATAAGCCGAGATAAGCGTATGAAAGATATAGAAATGAAAATATTCTAACCCAAGAAAACAAAAAAAAGATCTTTCAGAGCATAGTGATGAATATTACCGTATATGGAGCGGAAGTAAGACCAATGACAACATCAATACGAAATAAAATAAGAACAGTTAAACTAGACTTTATGAGAATATGTCTACAAATTACCAGAGCGGATAGATAAGAACAGGGGAAATATGGAACAGAATAGAAGTAGAATGCTCAATTACAAAAAAGTTGGAAAACAGAGCTTTGCAGTGGTACGGGCATGTACAAAGAATACCAGAGCACAGGTGGTCGAAAAGAATATTCAAGACCTGCTACAAGATGGAAAACATACATAGGAAATGATATGATAGAGAGAGACCTCAGAGAAGATGACTGGGAAAATAGTGCTGTGTGGGACGAAAACGGCGAACTCGTAATGGGAAAAGCCGAAGGAGAAGAAGCTTTTCAACCCTTGCTTCTTAATAACAGCCAGATCAGTATTGTTGATTCTGTAAAATTTCTTGGTATTTGTGTAGAGAGCAACCTTAAATGGTCCATTATATACTGGTGTGCAATAAGATATGTTTCGAAGGAAATCGAAATGGTCTTCTATATTGGGGTTCAAGTACAGCTGTCCAATCTAATGTTCTTTTTATATTACAAAAAGGAGCAATACGGTATCTTTTTGGCCTCAGAACAACAAATTATAGAAACTACTGCAAAAACCACGGGATGTTATCGTTTCCCCAGCTTATTCACAAATCACCCGGAATAGATAATCTCCCAGCTGAACTATATAAAGAAGGTGGCCATGATACCATAATAGCATTAAAGCAGCTTATAAAAGAAATATGGAGACAGCAATCCTTTCGCAATGATTGGAATACTGGAATACTTTACACCATACACAAAAAAGGAGATATCTTTGAATGCTCTAACCGCAGAGGAATTACGCTTCTAAATGCAGCTTATAAAATATGTTCCACGGTACTATGTCCCGTATGGCACCATATGCAGAACGGATAGTAGGAAAATACCAGGCTTTTTCAGGGGTGGTAAATTGACAGTTCATCAGATTGCAACCCTGAAACAAATTTTGGAAAAAACACTGGAATATGGAATTGATACTTATCACAAACTTATAGACTACAAAGCAGTTTAGCTATAATATTTGATGATTATGCAAAGTCTTCATTACAATGAGCATAATAGGTGTATAGAAGGTTTTCAAGACATGGGAGATGACAGAGATTCATATATAGCAGATCATATTCTAGTTTTTATGGTAAGAGGTCTAAGAAAATCGTGGAAATCACCTATTTAGTCCCTTTAGGAACCTACTTGTGTGCCCAGGAAATCTCTGTAATTATTTTTTTTTATTTCTTTGTAGTTACCCCATCCACTCTCACCCTTATTCACTTACTTACGAAGCAGCTCTCCAACCAAAACAAGAGTGGCCGTTCGCAAACGTTTCGATTTGTTTGCTTACCCTATCTCCACCCAAGGTTAGTAGATATTTAAGTAGGTTGTCTCGTAACTATGTGGGCGAAGCGAGGGGAAGGCAGAATGTTTACGTCACTCATACGACAACGTCAAATTTGATAGTTGATTGACAGTTGTCTGCACGTCTGAGTTTAAGTTCACGTTTGTATTCGTATACTTTTTTGTGGAATTTTCCTATAGTATCATTAGTTCGTTTATTTGTTTAGTTATTTTTAGTTATTGTTTAGTTTTTATTTTTAAGTATAGGTATAAGGACAATATTATTTATAGAGACTTATTATTTAGTTATTTGTGTACATAAACACTTGTGAAGTGTGTTGTCGTAGCTGTGTTTTATTTATCAGACCGATAAACCCAGGAATTAAAAATAATTTCTATTATTTAAAAATTCACGGTCATGAACTAACAAACCTATAGCCTGAAGATTTGTGCTTGAAGGACTAATCATTTTTTGTATTTTAATCTAATAATAAATTATTTATATTACCTATTTGTTTTTTTTTGCCTACCACTAGATATGATAAGAATGCTGCAAATTCTAGGAAAAACATAATAAGTAAGTTCCTACATATTTAGTATTTTTGCTTTTGAACTTTTTCTTTTTTTTTTGGGTTTTTCTGCGAAATAAACTGTTATCTCCATTTAAAACACACAATATTATCAATTCTATTTTTTGTCATCAGACTATTGATTTTAAAAAGAAAATTGATAGAATTAGTAATATAAGAACCACTTAACATCCTGATAACCAAGAAATTCCCAAAATATATTGCAAAACCTAAGTTTTTGAAACTTTTATTAGCATTGAAGCTTATGGCAATTTTAAAAGTGTCGTGTGGGTGACGTATTCCCGCCTTTAAAAAGCCAACATTTGATTGGTCTATAGTTACGAGACAACCTACTTAAATATCTACTAACCTTGATCTCCACCCCAGGAATTGCTCAGTCACTACTTTCAAACACCTATAATTGATACCCAATGAGGTAGATAACGACATTTTAAAAAGCACGAATATGTATATATCTAGTTTATATCAATTAACACTGAACTATGGTATAAAAAAAACATTGCTTAGAGTATATAGAGCACAGTATATAGAGGTTCCATGGAACCTCTATATACTGTGGCAATACTATCCATGTGCTTACCTATTGTATCGGTGGATATGTCAAATACTGCAAAATATGCAAAAACACTAGAAAAAGCAATATGCTAAATATACAACAAATGCACAAATGCCATAAAAGGGTCTCTAGTCACTATGAATCAAAAGAGATTAAGCATTCACCATTACCAATACGTTATGCTTCAAACGTATATGATTGTGTAAGATATTCTAAGATACGGTATATGATTTTTTCAATATAACTTCTAAAATTTAGGCTTATGCATTTCAGCGCGTATGAGATGGTTTGGTACAAGAGCTAATTGTCGTGTAATCCACAACATTTTCTTCTCTTTAACGAAAGATTATTTTAAGTAAAAAATTATTTTGATTAAACATTACCTAACAACTATTTTAATATTTAATATTGTATTTTGAATTATATATTAACTTCCTACCTATTAAATTAGTATACGTATAAATTTTATCCACAATTCCTGAATCTGGATGCGCTTTTACTTTAAATGGAACTAATCTATAATATGTATAAAAATAATAAAACTCATCATCTGCTTTTACAAATTGCCAATACTTCTCAGACCTAAAACATACAGTAAATTAATTCCAATATTTCACAGGCCCAAACTAAATGGTACTTGTAGTAGATATGTAGTTTAAGATACAGTCAAATTCAAATCACTTTCGGAGAATTCTTAGAACTAAAACTCATCGTTGACTACATAATGAAATTCACGAAAGCTATATAAAAACATAAGATATAAGAAGAAAAAACCAGTTCGAATTCGTTAGTCAAGGTGGGTGGACGTATTCGAGTTTTTGTGAATTTACTGGTGATTGATTCTTTTAAAATATAAGTATAATTAGTTGTTAGTTTTGGTATTGATATTTACGAAGAGCATATTAGAGTTTTTTTAAAGCGTAAGTGATGTCAGAAAAAACGGGCGGTGATAAGCCGCCCGATGAAAAAAACACGTTTGATAAAAGTGATAGTGAAAACAACAGGTATGTTCCACTAATTGATATGAATAACAGTTATAGACCAGGAGATATTGGTCCATTTTATGTGTTTGTTGAACACAAAAATAAAAATTTAGGGAGACTTTTTCCAATTAAAATAGGGCACTTTCTACTTAAAGATGAAACTTTAAAAAATGACGTAATAGATATTAAACCGGTAGGTGTTAATAGGGTAAAGGTTATTTTTAATACATTAGAAATAGCCAATAGCTTAGTAAACCACGAAGTTATATTAAAAAATGAGTTAATAGCATTTATACCTAAATTTTATACACACAAAAAAGGAGTTGTCAGGATGGTAGATACTTTCTTTTCTGAAGAATATTTATTAACTGCTATCAAATCAAACAAACAGGTATCATGTGTCAATCGTATGAAAAGGAAAATTACAGACTCTGATGGAAACGTAGTTTTGGTAAACAGACAAATGATAATAGTAGAATTTTTAGGAAATGAAATTCCAAAATGTATACAAATAAATTTATGCAATTTTCATGTTGAACCGTACGTACAACCCGTTGTACAGTGTTTCAAATGTCTGAGATATGGCCACTCAGCTAGACAATGTAAATCAAAAAATGAGAGATGCCAAAAGTGTACAGATACAAGTCATACAAAAGAGGATTGTAAAGAAAATAATTTGTGTATTTATTGTAATAATAACGAACACCCCTCAATTTCACGCATTTGTCCCGTATATGCAAAGCAAAAGGGGATTAAACAAATTATGTCAGTTGAAAACATTTCTTTTAAAGAAGCCGAAAATATATATAATAATCCATCATATGCGAAGGTGGCTACGAATAACCGTTTCTCTATTTTAAACAACGATAACAATTTTCCAGCTTTTCCAAATACTTCTGGCGACAGTCCATCGTCTAATATTACTTTTAAAAAACCAAAACCAGCTTCTAAAGCCAATTCTAATAAAACAATTAAACGAACACACCCAACCTCTCCTACACCAGATACGATGCCTGTAAAAAAAACTTATAAACCTAGTCAAAAACCTAAACCCATTATACCTAACCCTTACAGAGAAGAATTTATGGACTATAAAGAGAAAACTATAATGTTAATTACCTCCTTCATAAATAAATTTCAAAAAAATTTTCAATTAGCACCAAATACTCTCATGGAATCTAATATCAGGGACTTTGTAGAAAGTGCCTTTGCTCCAAGTGATCCAAATGATGCTATGGAAACATATAGTGAATCAGATTCAAGTGAAAAACTCTTTTACTGATTAAACTTTAAAAATGGCTAATAAACAAACAATTAAAAAACCAATTAGTAATTTTGCAGTGGAATAGTAGGTCAATAACATCTAATAAAAATAATTTGTTAAATTACCTTAATAAAAACCATGTTGATATTATCATACTTTCTGAAACTTGGCTTAAGTCTAATAGTAATTTTAATATAAAGGGATATAATTTCATTAAAAGATGTCGTGATGACGGATATGGCGGAGTTGGTATATTTATCTTACAAACAATTAACTATCAAGAAAGTGTAATAACCCAAAATTTTTCAAGGGGCATTGAAGTATGTGCAGTATTTATTCCAGATATAAATATTTCTTTAGTTTCAGTATACAACCTACAGACATAGCAGCCACAAAAAAAGATTGGTTAAATTTATTGGTACAGTTTGATATCTCTCGTACAATTTTTTGCGGCGATTTTAATGTACACCATCACAGGTGGGGCCCTATTCCGGAAGATCGCGGGGGAAAGGATTTAACAGAAGCTTTAGATTTTTTGGAACTAATTACTTTAAATGATGGATCGCCCACTAGAGTTAATCCCAATGGTAATCACTCTGCAGTTGATTTAACTCTTATCTCCCCTTTCTTGGCAGATTTGGTAAATTGGTCAGTATATCAAGACACTTTAGGTTCTGATCACTACCCTATTCAAATTCAGCTCCAAATTGCTCCCATATCTTTCGAAATCAATCCGGCAACTAAGTGGAATGACGGTCGTGCCGATTGGTCAGCCTTTCAAGCATTTATTGAAAATGAAATCAGTACAAATTTAGCTCTAAATGATTCAGATAACTGTCGAATAACAAAAAAATTATTTGAAGTCATATCTTCAGCAGCATCTGCATCCATGCCAGTTAAAAAACCTTTCATTCCTTCTGTCCCAAGGCCCTATTGGTGGGACGAAGAATGTTCTGATATAGCTGAAAGTCGCTCCCACGCACTTAAATTGTTCAGAAGACAAGGAAATATTACAAATTATCTGAATTATCAAATATTGCAGCAAAGGCTAAACTCATTTTCAAGTTAAAACAAAAAAATAGTTGGATAACCTTTGTTAATCAACTCAATAGATCTACACCTCTTTCAAACATTTGGAATTGTGTAAAAGCTATAAGAAACAAATATCATAAACAAAATAAACCTCCATTGCACGAAGATTTAATTGAGGATGTTCTGAATCAGCTGGCCCCGCCTTCGGTCTCTAATGTCGATATAGACAATCAAAAAAATTTTCATTTTTATTCTACTTCAGATACTATGTCTAAAAATTTTGAATATTCAGAGTTAATTTTGGCGTTAAACCAAACCAGAAGCACAGCTCCCGGTTTGGATGGTTTCACATATAAAATTTTACACAATCTTCCAGTGTCAGCTAAACAAATAATTTTAAAAATTTTTAACAACTGGTGGGTAAAACAAGAATATGCTGAGGATTTAAAAAATATTGTTATATGTTTAATAAAAAAAACCATTTAAAGATCCAAAATTACCCTCATCATATCGACCTATATCGTTAATGTCTTGTCTGACCAAGACTTTTGAACGCATGATTAAGTTTCGCCTAGAATATTTTATTGAAAGCAATTCTCTCCTACCCACTACTCAGTATGGATTTCGGAGAGGCCGTAGTACTATAGATGCATTGACCCATATGGTTACAGATGCACAAATATGCTTATCTGATAACAAATACATGTTATGCCTATTTGTGGACCTAAAAGGTGCATATGATGTGGTTGATTTGAGTATTTTAAAAACAAAATTGTGTAGAATGGGTATCAGCAAACAGGTATCAAATAACTTAATAAATTTGTTTCTAAACAGAAAAATTTATATTCGTGACCACAGAAATGTACTCCACGGGCCAAGAACAGTATATAACGGTTTGCCGCAAGGATCAATATTGAGTCCACTTTTATTTAATGTATACACAGCAGAGCTGCATAGTTTGATGGATGACAATATAAAAGTTATTCAGTACGCTGATGATATTTGTTTTTATACTATCCATAGTTCATTATGAACGATGTATTACAGATTTAGAGTATATTTTTGCTGCATACGTGATTGGTTACATACTATGGGTTTTAGTATTTCACAGCAAAAGACAGCGGTTATGTGTCTTACTAGGCACAGACTTAGAACACCCGATTTGTATACCATAGGTGATTTTACTATACCCATAGTAAAAGAATATAAATATCTTGGCATCTATATTGATAATAAACTCCTATGGACCAGCCACATAAAACACGTAAAGCAAAAATGTGAGAAAGGGCTCAACATTCTGCGTGCAGTTTCGAAATATAAGTGGGGTGCAGATGTTAAAATATCCCTTACTTTTTATAAGTCATACATCCGCTCAATAATGGATTATGGATGTACTATTTATGCCTCAACTAGCAAATCAAACTTATTAACCTTAGACAGAATTCAATATAAGGCAATTAAAATAAGTCTAGGAATTATGATGTCATCACCGAATTATGCAGTTCTCGCTGAAGCACAAGAACCGCCTTTGTGCCTTCGACGAGAGTACTTATCTAATAAACAGCTAATAAAGTATAGGACGTTTAGTACATTTATGGTCAAAAAAATATCAAATATAGCGGTCCAGAATCTTACAAACAAATATTGGAGAATTAAAACGTCTCCCCCGCTTGCTGAGGCTTTTATTAACACTGAGAGACATAAAGAACTAATACATAGTCAAAAAAAATATCCTATTTACGAAATCGATTTTCCAGCCTTAATATTTAAACCAACCATTATAATTCCAAACTATCCAGACAATATATTTCTATCAAAATTAATTTTCAAATCTATACTCTGTAATTTAGGAGAAAATAAAATCATCATTTATACGGATGGATCAAAAAAAGATTTAAAACAGGCTGTGCATTTTTAGTTTCTAATATTAACCATGTTGAGCAATATCAAGTCCCTCATTATTTATCGATTTTTAGTGCAGAAGCTATAGCTATTAAGAAAGCTTTAGATTGGTGCGAGATGAATTTACCTTTATCTGTGATAATTGTAACAGACTCTCTCTCAGTTTTGCACGCCATTAAAAGTCCTCCTTTTAACCATTATAACAAAAATATTCTTCTATCTATAAAAAATAGTCTATATAAACTGCAGGAGTATGGTGTACGAGTTACATTAGTCTGGGTTAGAGGACATTCAGGGATAACTGGGAATGAAGCAGTTGATCTCGCAGCGAAACAAGCACTTGACTCAGAATGAAAGTAAACATGTGCAGCTCATCAGATCTTATTAATTTATATAAAACT